TGGCACAAAGTTGTACCCAAAAGGGCAGCCTGTGCCTTGAAAGTGATTTTGCTCCAGGCCAGGGACTGGCGCAGCTTGGAGCCTTCCGCTTGTGGCCGACAGAGCAAGTGGCACAGGCACTTGGAGCCGGAGCCTCGATTCCCCATCTCCCTGCCATCTATAGCAAGTGATCTCAGGCACAAAGCAGCACACTGCCCTTTCTGTCGCAGTCCTGGGGTGTCACAGGCGAAGCCAGGCCAGGCACATCACGGGGGGGGACATATCACTGCCATCAGGCAGACGGGCAGCCATGGCACGGGGAGACGGACACACGGGCAGGGCCAGGGGGGCAAAGCAGGCAGGCTCCAAGGGAAAGTGGGCATCCGAGTGCTGCCTATGCTGAGGGATGCCACAGGCAGCCAGGGATGGTCACGGGGCAGGCGAGTGTGTTTTGCAGCTCCTGGCTTGCATCTGAGAGCTAAAGACCCCTCCCAAATGTACAGGCATGCCCCTGCCCCATCCAAACAACAGCAAAGCATCGCAATAACCACGGGCAAGGGGCAGGCACCAGGGTGGAGGCTGGATATATTCTAAGCAAGGCCCTGAGAGGCAAAGGAGGAGTATTGCAGTACTTCTTCCTCTTTCGAGAGAGAAGCGGCTGTGAAAAAGGGACTTCAGTTTTCCTTCTATAAAGGCAACTGCTTCCTCCTGCTGCACCCGCTCAGCTTTGCTGAGTGCTAAAGTACATGCCTTGAGTTTTTCCCCTTCTGTTACCCCGTGGAGCAGCACGTCTGAGGATGGAGAGTGGCAGACCCCACGCTGCAGCCGCAGTAGCAGGAGCAGTGCTGGGATTGGTGCCTGAGCTGCACCGAGAAGGACTCACCCGAATCACTGACAGCCCCCCACGGCAGGTCGCCCTGAAGCCAGCACCCTCCCGGGGGGGCAAGGTGCAGGATGACACATGCTGGACAGAGAAACTTTTTTTTGGAGCAAAGCTAGACTGTACTTCGTCTAGAAACCTTGGGAGAGGGGGCAAATTTGCATCGCTTCCACGCAGAGCATCCCTCACCTGAGCTTGTGGGCCACGGGCAGGGACAACTCCTCCCCGGGCATCGCTCTCCTCCAAGGCAGCACTGCAGGGGGCTGGGGAGTGGGGCAAGGTGGGCTGCCAGGCTCTCCAGCCTTGCTGAAGTGTCCAAGTGTCCACAGCAAAACTGTGCTGCCCTCACAGCAGTACCATGTGAAAGGGAAGGAGTCGAGAGCTTAAAACTTCCATTTGCTGAGCTGGGTGAAAAAGCAACCGGCAAAATGTGGTTCTGTGGTATCTCAGATCTGCTGCAAAGTTAAATCATTAGCTGAGCTCAACTCCTTCTCCTTAAAAGGCTCTTGATGTGCGATACGGTTATCCCTACCCTGTCCTCTCTGAAACTGAACTCCTGCTGAGCTGGCTGGGTTGCACTCACACATATATGCATGCACACACGCATACACACACACACACACACACACGCACACACATGCCCACACAGCACACAGCACCATGCGGCGACTCTGGCTGGGGCACCCTGGCCTTGCACCAATCCAGTTTCTCCGGGATGCTTGAATTTCCCCGTGCAGCACTGGGAAGCTGAGCTGAGCCCAGCTCCGGGGTGCCTCTGAGCCGAGCTGGGGGCCCAGCCTGGGGGGACATGACGAGGGACAAACTCCCTGGGACGTTTCATCCGCCCCTGCAGTTTTTTAGTTCTGAGGACAGAGCACAGGAGGCTGCAGGGAAGCCCCGACCTTTGCACAGCAGCTTCAGGATTGCTCTGCTCCTGTTTTCATGGTTCTTTGGTTTTGTAAGTCAAGCAGCGAAACCTAAACTGGGATATAAATGACAGCATATAGGCTTGACTACACAGAGGAGCGTAGCAATGCAGAGGCCCTGGAGCCTACCCCCCCGCCCTTCCAAATTTCAGCAGCGATCACTATTTAAGGTTGGGCACATGCTCTGCAAAATGGCTGCCGGTCTTACAGTGGTGTGAGGTGAAAAACAGCCTGTGGCAACAACATTGCAGTCATACAGCCTGTGTGAGTTTGTACAAGAGACCCCCTCCAGCCCCCAGCCCTGTTGTGTGGGCCACCACAGGTTCTGGGGTGACCCCCCCCCAAAGCCATCCAGCCCCGCGGAGCCGGGGATCCCCTTCATCCCAGCCCTCCTCAGAGCCGAAAGCCGCAGGAGCACCTCTGCCTGCCCCCCAGCCCCACGCTGCTGCCCCTCCTCACTGTTTGCTGGGCAGACGCATGTTGGTAACCCCCCATGAGCCATCAGAGGGGGATTCTTGGGGTACCATACATCACTGCAAATACTCACCTGCAGCACTGCTCTCCTGGCTTTTTTACCCCCTTCTCTCTTTTCGGAGGTGTTAACAGCACTCCAGTCTTGATGCCTGGCACAATGCCCACCCTGGTTCACAAAGCTACAGTCACCCAGCGGTGTCTGTACTGCCCTCTCCGCAGTTTTTCCTACATAACAACACCAAGGAAAGCTAATGGGCTCAGGTACTTTTTGTCTTACAGAGCAGAGAATTACGACAAACCATAATGTGCTTGAATCAAAATGACAGACCGTGAAGTAATGTTTTTTCACTTTACGCTGCCTGCCCTGCCTGACCCGACCATCAGCCGGGCTGCCTGCCACAGTGATTATTTCACCTGCCACAATGAAAAATCTTTATTAGATGCAGCAAAGTCTTCAGTCTTAAAATCCAGCCGACCTCAGAGATGAGCGGGATTTGGCTGGGGGCCATCCTTGCAGGGGCGGGCGCACCAGCGGCGGTGTACCCCCCAGCCCCCCGCTGCTTTGCCCAGGAGCTCATCACCTCAAACCACGCTGGGTGCTTCTCTTGGAGGGGAAGAACAACCACAAAGCGGGTTGGTTTCAGCACAGATATTGCCCACAGTGCCTACAAAGCACAGCCTGGAAGATGCTGAAGGCAGGCAGACAAAAGTAGTACCAAGGTGAAAATCCAGCCATTTTCAGCCCCTCTCTCTAGGATGTACTGTTTGAAACAACTGACCAGCACCTCCACCTGCCCTCAGTAGATGTACCAGCACCGTGGCGGTTTGGCCTCTGAGCCCAGTACACATCGCTTCCCTCCCAGCACATAGGGAGCTGCTCGCTGAGCTGGCAGCTGGTCCATCCTCGGAAAGGATGGGTGTTAAGGTCTCCCAGAACCACCTCTCAGACCTGCCGCCTCTTCGACCTGGTACCTCATCATCGGAGATGTGCTTCAGTAAACCTGCTGGCAGTGGGGATGGGCCCTGTAGCTTTAGGACAAGAGGAAACGGTCTCAAGTTGTGCCAGGGGAGGTTCAGGCTGGATATTAGGAAGAACTTCTTCACTGTAAGAGTCGTTAGGCATTGGAACGGGCTCCCCAGGGAGGTGGTGGAGTCACCATCCCTGGAGGTGTTCAAAAAACATTTAGATGTGGCGCTTCAAGACATGGTTCAGTGGGCATGGTGGCGTTGAGTAAACGGTTGGACTTGATGATCTTTGAGGTCTCTTCCGACCATAACGATTCTATGATTCTATCTATGATTCACAGGGCATCCTTAGTTTCTTTCTTTTGGGGGCGAACGAAACCCTTGGATTCAAATGGCCAGGAGCTGCAGATCCATTGACACCTGCATCCCAGTCTTTCTTCCTGGAGCCCACCCTAAACCTGGTCGTTTGGTGAAGCTGCACCCAGGCAGCGGCACACAGGGCAGGAGGCGGCTGTGCTGCTGAGCTGTGCCGTCCCCTGGGCTGGCTGAAGAGAAAGCAGTGAAGAGAAGTTGTCTTCCAGAGGTCATCTTTATGTCAGAGCAAATTCTGGGTGTGTCTGTGCTAGAACACGCATGCATATGCATACATGGGAGTTTAAAATGCATCATGTACTCTGCAGTAGGGGAAAAAAAAATCACAGCTGAGTGCAGCTAGACTTTGTGGGAACTACTCATAATCAGATATAAAAATGTGGGTATTTAATCAAAGTAAAGAAGCAGCTTTCCATATCAATCACAAACAATACGTCAGGTTGTCTGCCAGCTCTTTTTCTCTGTGGTGATAAGACACTGCAAAGGACTTAAGATATTCTCAGATAAATCAGTATCTCCTGTGTTCTGAGTACATGGTCTTCAAATTTTTCTTCCATCGACAGTTTTTGTCTGACAGTTTTACAGCTCCAGCTCCTTTTCTGCTGTAGGGATGTTTCCATCAGTCTGCTGGAAGGGGAGGACGCGCTCCACTGAAACGCTCAAGCAGGTGCTGAACTTTACGCTGTTGAATAGCCCTGCCGAAATCAAAAGGCCCCACTGTTCGGTTTTGGTGGATCAGGGCTTCATTAAATCATAGGAAGCTGCACCAATGGTTGATACAAACATCGCAGCACCCAGCCCTGCTCCTCTGCTCTTGCCCGTACGCCTGAAATGGTTCCTCAGAAAACAAGCAGCTGTGATCATCACGTGCAGTGCGTGTCCACACCTGTGTTAGGAGGATGAGCTCTGACCTTGGAAAAAACCCTTATTACAACTTTCATGCATTTTCTGCCACCGTGATTTCTGTTCCTACTGTATACTCTTAAAGGTCTCAGCTTTTGCATTGCAAACTCCTGGAGGCAGCGAGGCTTTCTAACTTTGGTTGCAAATACTTGCATACAGACTGAGCTGCAAGAGACTTTCTCCACCATTTACCTCTTACTTAACACAGTTCTCTTCTGCTGTGCTCATTTTTTCTCACTTCTCCTCCAAAGGGAAAGTGACAGAGTCAGCCATGACGTGCCTGCAAGTGCTGCGAGACAGAATCCATAACCATCCCTTCCCCTCCCTCTTTCTATGGTTTTAGATAATTAGTCAAAAAAATATTTCCTTCATAAGGCTACCCCAGAGGAGAGAAGTGTATGAAGACTTGTAACTAGAAATGAGGAGAATTAGTTTTGACAAATGTTTTATCCTTTGGGGGGAAAAAAGAAAAAAGTGGTTTTTTGGCTGTTGTGAAACAACACTCCAGTTGGGGTTGAGTTTCTCAGGGAGTTTTGACCAGCTATGGGCGTTCAGGCCTTGCTCCACGCAGCCGATGGCCAAGGAGGGAGAGGTTGGGACCTCACTGAGGCTGGCAGGGAGGCAGAGGAGGGGATGTGGGAGGTCCAGTCCCCCCTTCCCACCTCCAACCGGGAGAGCGGTACACTCCTCCTTTCCTTGTTTCTTCGTTTCTTTGTCGTGGCTGGGTAATTAAGTGGTTTATGCCAAATGAACAGCTCACAGAAGAAGGACTGAGAGGGACCTACCTCAGAGTTACCAAGTGACTTTGGGAGATCCTGACTCAAATCTTTGCTCTCAGCGTGAAGAATGGCAGGGAGCAATGTGAGCTCCAGTGCCCTTTCCTCTGAAGCACGTCTCCCAGTCGTCAAAGTATAAAGAAAACCCGAAAGAGTAAATTTGGCTCCTGGGGTCATTTGGAAGAAAAAGGCTTAGCAAAAACCTGATTCCCTTCCCCAGCAGAAGCATGGCAGGGCAGCATCTCTATGCCACTATGGGCAACTCTCTGTATGTCTACTCTCCTTGGTTACTAAGGAAGACTGACTTCAAGAAAAAAGGTATTTTTGACTACGAAGGTATAAATTTCCATCCCATTTATCCCAGCCATAGATTGCTTGTGCAATTTTACAAGCCAAACCTCCAAATCAGAAAGGTGAAATACAGTGATGGTTGACTCCATTAGCCCAACTGTTCTTTATCTGTTGCTAGTATTTGCAAAAAATATGCACAGGCTATTCAGATTTGGTTTCGATATTTAATGCGCAAGTTTATCAGAGAGAGAATATATCCTGTGCTTGTACCCATATACAGTGTTTATTTACACTTTTAAAGCGTGTTTACTGACCTTAGCAAATGGTATTTCCAAGAAAGCTGCTCACGGGTTAAACAAATAGTGAAGTGATCCGAAGACATTATTTAACGAGGGAAGTGACTCACTGGCTTAACGACAGGGAGGCCTCCACCAGCGAGCCGGGATGCCAGGGCTGGAAACCCAGGCGGAGGGAGGAGGCCCACGGGCGCGGAGCAATGTGGTGCCGCGCAGTCGGGGCAGAGATGAGGTTTGCAATATCCATGGCTGTGCCATAAAGACTGGGTACCATTTTGGAAACCTGAGTTGTGAACAGGCATTTTTGGACGGTGCAGGTTTTTTTTCCTAGGAGGGGTTTGCTGTCGAGATCCCCCCCGTGTGCCCGTACCCTTCTTCAGCAGCTGTGCCGCAGCAGGCAGAGGCGCAGCGGGCAGAGCACAGAGGTGCCAATCCCCCTGGCATGGGCCAAGCACATTGCGACATCTCAGGCTGGAAAATAAAAACCTTTGTCATGTTTTCCCCTCTCACCAGGGCCTGTCTAGCCCAATGCTGCGTTGCCCGTCCCAGCGTCTCCTCGACAGGATAGTGCGGCGCTACGCTGAGGTGCCAGATGCTGGCAGCATCTACATGGACCACCTCACCGACCGGGACAAACTGCGCCTGTTGTACACCCTGTCAGTCAATTCACACCCCATCTTGTTACAGGTACGTACCACCTTGCCCCAGCTTGAAATACCATCCCACAACTCCTTGCAAGCAAATCCGCGCATGAGATGTGCACCAGCCCCCAGCTGCAGAGGCATCCCAGCCCTGGGCTTTGGCAAGCTCCTGAGCCTTCATAAAGCGTGTTTCTTCTCTGGGCTTGGATGGCTGAAGCCAGGCAGATTCCTGCAGTGCTCCTTGCAGCAGCCTGTGGAGTTGTGGAGAGATATGGATGCCCAGCCCCTTAGGTAAACCAGAACCTAGACGGGTTATTGCATAGCGCACTGTGAAAGGCAGGGTTTTACATGTCCCCAGTACTTCAAAGAGTTATGTTTTCTTTGCTAAAGTACTACTTAAAATCACAGCCTGTTTATAAAAGAGAAAGAGCATGCTTTAGTGTGGGAGGACCAAGATGCAGCATTGAGGTTGAACATGGAGTTGGGGAGCACTGATTTCCCAGGCTCCATGTGCCAGTGCTGTTTTTTTCCATTTGCATGCCACTGGTACCTTGCTCCATGGCAAAGTGCAGCTTTGCAGAGCTATTTGGTAGAATCCCAAATACAACTGAGCTCTGAGTTTGAAGGCAGAGAGCCAGGACGCCTCACGTCCCTTCCTTGGTCCCATGCCTGGCACGTGGCTCCTCTCTTTCCTTACGCTTGTCTCCAAGGGAGTATCCTCACCTTTCCCTATCACCAACCTACCTTTAGTCTTCATTGCTGTTTCTTGCAACCCTTTGAGATGCCACGAAGAAGAGAGGCAGCAGGAGCATCTACCTCCTGCCCCAGGCCACCGTTGCCCTCAGCAGCACACGGGGCTCTGCCTGGTCCCAGGGATGGGGAATGGTGCTGGTGCTCTGGGGGTCTCCCGCAGGTCATTCAGCCACCCCGGCCACCGCTCGTTGGGGCACGAGCTGCGGCTCTCAGCACTGTAAAGATATGAGAACGCAGCTTAAAGAGGTGACAAAAATACATTGAAGAGAAATGGCTTGATTTTGCATGGGTGCCCCAAATGCCTTCACAGCGGAAGGGAGAAGCAGCCTTAAACGTGAAACTGGACGAGTTCATAACCATGCCTTGGCAGGGTCCGGGGTGCTGGGGGGACAGACCGATTATAATGTAAATGGCAGAGAGCTTAGGTTGGCACGGCTCAGCAGTCAGGCGGTTTGGCTTCCACCTGGGATAACTGCGCTCCTAGCACGAGCTCCAGTGATGCAGGGAGCCCAGCCCAGGCGTCCCCACTGTAGCAAACACCCCGCACTTCTGTCCCTGAGACTGCAAAGTCTCTTACAAAACAGCCAGGCAGTTCTTACAAATGAGCAAA